AATTTATGACTCCTCCTCTATTTCCTACAACTTGATACCTAAGGACGAAGAAGTTTCATTATGTTTATCTACATTTGTATTGCTTAAAGAGCTCCTAGGCAGATAATTTTAGGTCGAAATCCTCTTTCATCTCTCGGAACTAGCACATCCTGGCAAGAAGACATTGTCTTTGAAAGACATCGAACTGATAGATCCGGAACGACTAAAGAGGGTTTCAGCAACAGAACGCCTCATCAACCTGAAAGCCGTGGCGAGCAAGGAGGAACGAGGTTTTGGAACGGCGGTAGGTGCTCCTCCCTCTTCTTTTAAGACGTGGAAGACTTTTGTAATTAATTATCTGCTAGTCTACTGATATGATTTTATAGGTGTTGGAATCAGCCTATCGGTTCCTGCTTGGATCACTCGCAGGAGCATGTGGCGCCACCGCCGTTTACCCTATAGATCTCGTAAAGACGCGAATGCAAAATCAAAGAACCTCCGGCTCATTTGTCGGCGAAGTCATGTACAAAAATAGTTTGGACTGTTTCAGGAAGGTCGTCAAGTTTGAAGGTGACTCGTAATCATTGATTCTAGCATACCTTTTGAGAAAAAATGCTGCGAAAAGCGGTAAATAGCGAATTTCATATCCCAAACTTCCAACTTTGATATTATACGTTAGAATAAGGAGCATCAAAGTCATTTTTATCGTGGTAGACAAAAAATAACATAAATCTGGGCTGGATGTAGTTGTAACATCAGATGAGAATCTCTCAGACGGTGCTCTTTTAGGCCTACTGGGACTCTACCGCGGTCTTCTACCTCAAATCGTTGGTGTAGCTCCTGAGAAGGCTATTAAGCTAACGGTGAATGACTTCGTGAGGGATAAATTTACGAAAGAAGGCAAAATTCCATTTGCCGCTGAAGTGTTCGCCGGAGCTTGTGCCGGTGGAAGTCAGGTGAGAATATCCGCTTATTTCTGGATTTTCCCTTTTGCAAAACTGATGTCATCGCTAACCGTTACCCTTATTCGCTTCGGAACTTGTTCCTTTACTCGTTTGGGTAATGCTCTCACTCAGATCTGGGCCAGGCCTCGGC